TAGGTCAAGATTATATATATATATATATATATATATATATATATATACACACACACACTTAATTTCACAATAAATAAAGGCTAAATTAACTATAATATGGAAGTAGAATTTTCACTTGAAATAAATCTTATTGTATGATTTAGTTAACTTACTATAAATAAAGACAACTATGAAACACCTTAACAGTTTATTTTGATGTCTTTTTAAAATATGCATCATATTTTCTGTTATATACTAACAAAGCAATAACAATAATAAATCAATAAAAGCCACAATATTTTTTTCTATGGGGAGTGATATTTGCTATTAGACAAGGTTTGAACTGAAAAACACGATTTTCAATTAGACTGATATAAAAATGCACTTTAAAGCGGTCATGAGCTGCATTTATTATTGTTATTTTTGTATTCTTTCATAATGTTTCCTGTGGTGCACTTATAATGTTAGTATGATTTTTCCATCAAAAATGGCCAAATAAATAAATAAATGAAAGCTGTTTTTGGACTAATGAGGAGGTTTTGAGCTTTGAAACTTACAGGATGTTTTTATAGCAAAATGACGTATAACATGTCAAAAGATCAAGGTTAACTAGATTTCTCAAGTTATGACCCCTTTAAATAAATGACACAGTCATTTGACTTTTTTCAGCGCATATGGCTAAAGATTCAGCTGTTTTCAATTATCTGTGTCCTCACGCAATTATGACTTAATATTTGCACATTGAAAATCATAGCTGGGCAAAATCTGAATTTAAGAACTGGCTCCCTCTCAGTTCATGAATGTGTTTAAATGGTCACAGGATGATGAATCGGAATGACAGCAAGAAACGATGTGCTATCAAACTAAAAAAAAAGAATTAGGCTGCATAAAAAATCAAAAATGTAACGTATCCTTCAAATTACAATTCTGCATCCTAATTCACCTCAAATTCAGTTCAGTGGTGCTCCGTCTAGCTGTAATGAATCCACGAGTATGTGAGTGTGAAAGCCAGATGGTGTGTGTGAGTGTGTTAATGCGACGTCACAGAGTGAAACCCAACTCCCCAGTTTTCCCGCTTCAATAACACACTTTGGGCGAGTAAGCGGAGAGCAGAATTCCTGTCTGTGATCAGCACACTCACCCTCACTTCATTGGGATCGTCTGAGTAGTCCACAGGCTGGCAGATGTAGCTGTAGTTGGCCGCTCGTGCTGCGAGGAAGAGCTGAAATACAAAGAGACGCTTGGACTATTCTATATGGTTGGTATAAAGGACAATTCCTCATCATTAGCTTCTTCATCTTATGCATAAAACAGACAGCAACTCTAGCAAGGTTACCATCACTAATGAAATCCACTGCCGTATGAAAAGACAAAGACTATCACTGAAAAAAGATGTACTGTATGTTGAAGGAATGGTTCACCAAAAAATGAAAATTTGCTGACAATGTCCTCACTCTCAGGTCATCCGAGATTAGGATGAGTTTGTTTCTAATTATTTAGACAAGATTACTTTTTCACTGGAAGAAGTGTTATTATGAAGTATGGACTTGTATTTATCAATAGTTTACAGTAAAAATGTCTTGATGGATTTGTTTCTTACAAACACTCAGCTTTTGTCTTCTCCAGATGTGAACTGATGGACTGGAGTGCTGTGGATTACTTGTGGATTATTGTGATGTTTTTATCAGCTGTTTGGACTCTCATTCTGACGGCACCCATTCACTGCAGAGCATCCATTGCTGAGACACTGATGCAATGCTACATTTCTACAAATATCCAAACTCATCTACATGTTGGAAGGATGAATACATTTTCAGCAAATTATCATTTTTGGGTGAGCTACTCCTTTAATAAAAAAAAAAAGTGACTTTTCAAAAGAATGAGCAAGAAACCATGAATGTGCATTACAATAAAAAGTAAGATTAAATCAGAAAATGACTGTATTTTTTCTCATTTCAATCTATGTTGGCTGGTCTGACTTCATTCATTTCTCAATTCTGACTTCTGCCCTGTTGGGGGGGGGGTCAGAGCACTTTGGGGGGATTAACTGGTTTTATTTTTATTATTCAATACTGTTGAATCAATCAAAATACATTAATTCATACCACCAAAAGTACTTTCTACGGGTGAAACCAGGTAGAAATATTTCTTTAAAGAAATGATTGCAGGTTATCACTTATCGCTGTGCACTGAAATATAATAAGTCTAAATTATCGTTTTCAAAAACGATAAAAGAAATAACCTAAATATTTATATGAACTATAAAAACTAAGAAAACCAAAGCTGACATGTAAAAATACAAGATCTAGTGCCATTTTCTGGGCGGGCTCACCTCTTTGAATATGAAGAAGTTAAGGATGACCATGCTGAAGTTGTAGACGATGAGGGTCTTCCTCAGCTGGAAGGGCTCTCGGCCCTGCATGTACTTGGGCCCCAGCCAGAGAAACAGCAGGTACGAGGAGCTGATAGCCAGCGTGGGGAGCGGAGAGTCCGTCAACGGCCATTTCTGCACACGCTTGTCTACACACACACATCAAACCCCATCATCACGCTTTCATCTGGCATCTACAAATGCACCTTAATTGCACTGGCTTCAGTATTTCCTGGCAAAACATTTTAGATTATTTTTTTCAAGTGAGCATAAAACAACACAGTTCTTGTGCAATTTACAGCACAAGTTAATTTTTCAAATGAATAAAATGCATAACTTTTCTATGTGTTTACAGAGAAATACAAAAATGCCACCCTTTTCTCGTGATGGAAGGAATAGGGGAGCGTTTAAGTTCACAAGCATTGCTTTTCAACCCATCCTAAAGGACGATAACTATAATGATAACCTTAACTGTAAAGTTTTAATAATCTTTCGAATTCTATGTAAATACTAAAATTAACATCAGAACTAAAACAGTAACAACACAGAAGAGCGATATCGGAGGAATAATTTTTTTAATTTTTTATTTTTTGTCCAGTTGAAGAATGATAAAAACACTGACAGCCAATCAGAATCCATCCTGCTTTAATAAAGCAATAAGCCCCGTGAAGCCGTGGTTTACAGTGAATTTAAAACAGCTAAGGGGCGTTGTTGGGAACGACGCGAAGCGGACGCTTAGCTGTTATAAATTCACTGTAAACCACGGCTTCACGGGGCTTATTGCTTTTATAAAACGGTTATTCCATACACGTAGTAAGGTTTCACAGAATAAAACAGAGCAAATAAAGTGTAATGATATTAATAAAAACAGTATTCTTCCACCAAACAATGTAGTTCCAACAAAGTGGTTGCCGAGCAACACACAGAAGTAAACAAAGGTGTGTGTTTGTAGAGTAATTTACAACAGCTTCGAACGCGGCTCAGCCAATCAGAATCAAGCACCGGAACTCTCCGTTTTATAAAGAGCTTTAAATGCGTCAGACAACAAAACTGCAGCATACGCTTATAATAAACAGAACGTTATCATCTGTTGGCTTGGACGCTAATATAGTTATCATTATGAGTTTATTTGACATAAGAAGAAGCAATACAGCTGCATCTTTACATCTTCTGTGTCAAGGATAACAAAATAAAGTTGCTTTAACTTATTTCCATTGTGGTCCTTGATTTTAGAAATGATGATGGGTTTGTTTGCATGCATCTCCACACTAGTTCACGAAATTCACACAAAATAAAATAACTTCACAATTATGCACATACACACAACCAAAATGAAAATCAATTCTATTTAGACAACCTATCTAAAAACAGCTTCTTCAGTCTTATAATAAAACCAACACTGAATATATATAGTTTTTGTTATCATCCTCAGTGTGAACCTGCCTCAAGACTTGGATTTTAAAAGCAGTAAAGAATTCAAAAATGTATTTGTTGGCTTTACATAATAATTAAAAATAAATAAATATTAACTGAAAAAAGACACTTTTGTCCAAATAGAGCATAAACAGCAACCAGATATTAGTCACACTTTAACTATTAACTACAACTTTTGCCTAAATAAACTCCTAATTATTGTGTATTACTGTAATAGTAGGTAGTTGCTAAGTTTAGGTATTGGGTTTAAAGATTAAACGATCTATGGTCATGCAGAATAAAGGGTCATGAAAACACATTTTTTGAGATGTTAACATATATGAACAGGTTGCACATCAGTGAAAACAACAATAGCACTCATTATGTGTATTATTAAGTGAAAAGTGGTTATTTTTCAATTTTTTGGAGCCATTTTGTTCTTCATGTTCTAATAGCAAAGTTGAACCAACGTCACGAAAAGTGCTTTATAAACAGCCAATATGCTAGTAATATACGTGCTAATAAACAACTAGTTAAACTAAAGTGTTACCGAACTATTTCGGGCTCCTCAATGAACCGGTCATTAAACAGTTTGTAAAAGAAACATCTTTGTTTCTTAGTGTGAAGAACATTTCAATCATCTAAAGAACCTTTTTCCACTAATAAAGAACGTTTGGTGGAATGGAGAGGTTCTTCGTGGAGCCATCAATGATAATAACGATAATGGCCAGCGTTGCATAGTTTCAAACATCTATATTCGTTTGAATCAGAGAATCTGCTCTTGTTCACCAAAAGCGAAGCCTGCAGTCTCTGTCTCATGGGGAAATCGAATAAATCTAATAACTCTTCTGCTCCCGGCTTTACTTAATCAGAGCGCTGCGTTGATATCAGGTCACAGGGTCAAGAGCGGTTACCTGCGATGGTGAGACTCCATTTGTAGAATTCGACTGTGTCCTTGATTATATGCTTTATAATATCCATCGCTGAGACTCAAATCCTAATTGTCTGAGAAGAAGAGAGATAAGAGGTCAAAAGATGGTGGAAAGCCATGTGGTGATGCTGCTAAAAAATGCTGGGTTAAATACAACCCAGTGCTGGGTAAAATAGGGACAAACCCAGCAATTGGGCTGTTTTGACCCGCTGGGTCAAAACAGCCCAATTGCTGGGTTTGTCCCTATTTTACCCAGCACTGGGTTGTATTTAACCCAGCATTTTTTAGAGTGTGCAATAGCATGATGGTGGGGTTGTTTGGGGAAGGGTTATTATTATGATTGATAGGGGAGCTGGGGGTGTAATTCAGCACAAATCTGCTCAACAACATCTGAATTATAATGGAAATCGACATATTATTGATGAAAGGGATGCACTTGCATCAATAGAAGTACATGAAAGATTCGGTCAGATATGTCGTTGAATATCAAAAGGCATACACTGGCAGACCCCCATCACAGCCTCTCCCAAACCCACCGTTAGAAGAGCCAAGAAGGCTTTTTGACGCCAGGTTACAAGAGATGCGATGCAACAATCAGGGATCAATCGCGCAAAAGACGCCAAATATCCCTGCGCTTAGAGCCTCTCCTCTCGTATACCCCTAAAACACACAGCATCCAGCCAGTATCATAGATTTAGCGTTAATTAAACTGACATGTAGCGTCGTCACAACGATGACTCCGTGCTTACCGTAGCGCGATTCAACCCCGTTTCTAATGACATTCAGCTCAAGGTCGCGCGATCCCGTTATTCCCTATTACAGGAAAACACCTTCGTCCCAGATTGAGCCGGATCCGCTTAAAGGCCCGATGCTGAAGCAGACGGTAATAAACCCATCCGTGTATGGAGCATCCTAGAGGGTCACTGGCATCACTGCGGCTGTCGGGTCGCTCCCCTCGACTCAGCTCTACTGCGCATGCGCCAGAACAGGTGCGTTCTTCATTCCCAAACCTTCAATCTCTGCGCTGCATCTTTTCTTGACTGTCATTCTTAAAATTATTATTATTTTATATTTTCATTATTTTTTTTTTTTGCTACTTAGCAAATACTACTTATAGGATCTAGTAGTTTGATCCTATCTTTTACATTTACATTACACTGTAAAAAATGACCATGAATTTAACGGTAAAAGACTGTAAAAATGCTACAGTAAAAACCTGTTAAATGGTTAACGGTAAATTCCCCTACTATATACGATAAAAAAGGATTGAGGAACAAATGAAAGCATTAAGACTCCAAGACTGAATCAGAATATTCAAAATTAATTTTTTTGTTTTCTTTAAGTGTCAAAATAACGTAATATGAACGTCGGGGCACATTCTGTTTGTGAAACAATAACGTAAAACACTTTCTAACATTAAGAGATATATCCAGCTGCAGACCCGCAGCACCAGCAGTTTCAGAACCGCAGCCACAGAACCGGAAGTGAGGGGCGGAGTTATTGACAACGAGAGAGCAGTCTAATGTTTTTGCTATCGTACGTTTAATAATTATCGTATACATTACGTTAAGCATTCATCTGCTAAGTACTTAATGTGTGCTTGGCTTTATTATATTATATTGAAACTTGAATTTGTTGTCCGGGAGTTATTTTTGTAGGATTGTCATAACAAAATGTGCCCAAGAGTGAATTGTTCATTTGATACATTTTAATTTGAATTCATGCAAGATTGTCACGACAAAATGTGCCCAAGAATGAATTGTTCATTTTGTAAGTTTTCATGCAGGATTGTCATGACAAAATGGGCTTAATAGTGAATTGTTCATTTTATAAACTTCAATGTAATTATTGTGTACATTTTGATTGTAGGCAATATAGCAATATACATTTGTTTATAGGCGGCGCTACTCTGTTAAAAAATGTAAGCTCCGCCCCTCACTTCCGGTTCTGTGGCTGCGGTTCTGAAACTGCTGGTGCTGCGGGTCTGCAGCTGGATACTATTGAACATTAAAACCAGTCTGAGCATCCAGTGTCAGAAGGACTTGAATTTGATATGTGATGATCTCTGCTCAAGTTTAAAATATTTCACCTTTTTAGACGGTGTTTACAAAGCTGTCAGAGAATATAATAACTGTTGGTTGAGCTGGAGGACCGTGGCGGTGGCATCGTGACGCGCAGAAGAAGACGCTCTCCGAGGCGTCATTTCCGGTTTAGAGAAGAGCCACTGGACAACAACAACAAAAAAATGGAAGGGAAAAACAATGTAGATGACCTGGACGCTCGCCTTCAACTTCTCGAAAAACGCGTTCATGGCGAAAGAGGAGGAAAAACCAATAAGCCTGTGAAGGTGATTCGCCTCAGAAACGCGTAAAACCCTCTGAGCGCTCTCTCTCTCTGTATGTATGTGTGTGTGTGTGTGTGTATATATGTGTGTGTCTGTGTCTGTGTGTCTCTCTCTCTCTCTCTCTGTGTGTGTGGGTTTATTGATGTTGATTTGACAGATGATATTTAGATCATAATATCAGGCAGTGTCGCTGATGTTCTTATAAGCAAAAACGTTAGTTGTGTCAGAAGCTGCATAGTGAGCGCTGTTCACACCGTGGGCGTGGCAGCAGGACTCGTGACACATAAACGGTGGATTCCTCTGTCAACTAGTTAGTACACTGACTAGTGCACACTACACGTCTTTGAGTTCCTTTAAAAGCGCTCTATCAATCAAATGTATTCGTACATACACGTGCAGTTCGCATGACATGTAATTTTGTCCTCCCAAGAAAAACACTGTCACCAGTTATTGAGTGGTTCAAAACAAGACATTTGCAAACTTGTAAACTGAATTTAATTAAATTGTAATTGTAAAGATTGTAGTAAATTTGAGTACTTACAGTGTGAACGAATGCCCGATGGAAACAACTGGTCTAAATAGAATCACTAACATAAATAGAATACTTGCTATTGCTAATTATAAATGACATAAATACATTATTTAATTATGAATTACAAAATAATCATAAATGCATGCACAATCATTTTCATCATTTTTGTGCATAAAAGTAACAGTTGATTACAAGTGGTCTACTCAGTAATGATCAGACTTATCCTTTTTCGTAGTGCTGTCAAACGATTAATCGCGATTAATCGCATACAAAATAAAAGTTTTGGTTTGCATAATATATGTGTGTGTTCTGTGTATATTTATTATGTATATATAAATACACACATGCAGTATATATTTTCAAAATATTTACATGTTTATGTTTATATTCGCAAAATTTATATTATAAATAAATATATTTAATATATAAACAACATATTTTTCTGAAATATATACATGCATGTGTGTGTATTTATATATTTATATATATATATATATATATACATAATAAATATAAACAGCATAGATGCATATATTATGTAAACAAAAACGTTTACTTTGGATGCGATTAATCGCGATTAACATCGATTAACGCGTTTGACAGCGCTACTTGTTTTGTATAACCAAAATCTTTATGTTAGCTTAGCAGTGTGTGCGTGTTTTGCTGGATTTCTAATCTGTCTTTCCTTCCTTCAGTGTGCTGAATCACTCACAAGGATCAGTGCTGCTCTGGCAAACACCGCAAACAAGAGAGAGCGTGTCAGGATCCTTCACAAGAAAAGTGAGAACCTCTCAGTCAACATCTGTAATCAAAATACTGTTGATGTTTTAATATGTTTCACCATCATTGCGTCTTTTCTGTCAGTTGAAGATTTGCTGAAGTATTTGGACCCCCAGTTCACAGACTTCATTGCTGTGCCAGATGCAATGAAACTAGAGTTCATTCTAGCAGGTTAGTGCTCTGATTTTCACATGTGTCGACACTGATCAAATCAGTCCTTAAGATCAAACACTGACATTTAATAAAAGTACTATAAACTGCATAGGCCCAACAGTATTTATTTATTAGTATTTATTTATATAGTTATTAACATGACATAGGATGAAAAAGTGTTTTGATTTTCATTTGCATCATGCACTCAGTCCAGTACTATAAACTGCATAGGCCCAACAGTATGCATAGTTATTAACATGACATAGGATGAAAAAGTGTTTTGATTTTCATTTGCATCATGCACTCAGTCTGCAATAATCCACTGCACAAAACATGTTATATTTGGCACAAACCATCATTGCAGGTGAACCTTTATTTAGTCTGAATTGTATTTTTATGTTTTATTTTTTGACCTCGTGTAGTTTTGTTCATGGTTTGTAAGAATAAGATCAAACGCTGGCAAGTAACCGATGAATCTGCACAAAAATACAATTGCAGACTGCACTTTGTCTTGCAATTGCAAGTTATAAACTAATTGTGAGTTTACATTTCACAGTTCAGTTCACAATTCACAATGTTTTTGTTTCTGTCAGTCTAAAAAAAGTATTCTGACTTAAGAATTGTGAGATAAATAGTCAAACATATCAGAAAAAAAGCTTCATGCTGCATGCAACCCATTATTTTTATTTATTTATTATCACCAGTTGAGAACCACTAAAGCATATCATATTTTTGAATGGACTGATCTAAACAGTGCATAAAGCTCCTCATTCTTTATCTACAGAGGAAGAGTTTTTGCGATCTCAGGCCACATTATTGGAGCAGGTGCACAATCTGCAGCCTCTTCTGGACAGCAACCACATTAAAGGTTGCTAAATATTTGTCAAATATGTAAATGAGCCTTTTCTTTAAGTATGACTACAGTTATCTGGTCGTATTTATAACAACACTGTTTTTTCCCCTTTAAAATATTTCCCCTCACATCATGGTATCACAGCGGTTCCAGAGCTGACCACTAAAGTGCAGCGATTGTCACAAATTCACATTCGACAGCAGGTAACAAAAAATAGAGGTTTTTATTGCTAAAAAAAAAAAAATCTGTATTAGCATGCTCTCATTTAATGAGAACGTGTCCTGAAGCACTCTGATTTATCTTCCTATATAAACTTGTATTAATCCTGATGGACTTCCACAGGACCAGAATGAAGAATTATCTGCTGAAGTGAAGAAGCTGTTTGAAGAATACAACAAAATGGTATCCTTGCTTGCGGTGAAAGACTCGTATTTAATTATTGCACTGCTTGCCATGTGTTGAGAACTCCCTGCAGCTAAAAACAGCACACAATGAGCTGAATTTATTCACATGAATGCCTTATTATCCTTAATGTCTTCCGCAGATGTTTCTTTTATCAAAGCAGTTTTCACAGTGGGATGAAACTCTTCGGAAGCTGGAAGGACCCAAGCAAGGCCAGCAGATAGACTAGGATGCTAAATCTTAGATTTGTCAAATGTTGCATTTTTCGCACTTCATCGCAGATATGATTAATAAAACAGCACTGTCATTCCTAAACATACCTTGTTTATAAGTAAGTGTTGTTTAAGGTCTTCGATCTACCATTAATCTAAATTTTGAGTCATTATGTACCAATATGGTCATCTTATTGTATCATAAGTAATTATATGCTCATTACATTTGTGTTTACAGAAACATTTCTCATTTCTTCCAACCATTCAGTAAACTCATTTTGCTTTTTAATGTATTTATTCCAGCAATTGTAAGGAATGATGTGTGTATGAGGTTGTTGTTTTTTTACCGCCTTTAGAAAAGTGTCACTACCTGAAATAATCATAAATAAAAGAAAGTGCCCCTGTATGTTGTATTTGTCTTTTATTTTTTTTATTTATATCTAGTTTTTACATTTTTATGAGTGACTGCTAAACATAACCTCCTTTTTTAACAATATTACAGCACCAATATTACTGGAGACATCTTTCAAGATTACAAGGAAACAAGTAAATGGACAATGGTGTAATATATTGAACTCTAAACACTAGATTAAGAATTGAGTCTAAGATATTTTCCACGAAAGGTAGCGGAGCTGTGCGATGGTTTAAATATTACAATGAAACAAGTAAATGGACAATGGTGTAATATATTGAACTTTAAACACTAGATTAAGAATTAAGTTAATATTTTTCCACGAAAGGTAGCGGAGCTGTGCGATGTTTTAAATAACTTGCATTTTTTGACAACACAAATTGTAATTTGCACTAAACTAAATGGATCTTTTTGTGATCCTGTTGCAGAAACTTTTTGCTTTTAAAAATGCCAAAGAAATGCTGTGTTCATTATGAACAACATTTCTACCAAGTTTTTATGGTAAACCATAAAATATGCATTTATCTTATCAGTGTTTAAAAACGACATTTAAATGGATTGACTCAAGCTCATTTAATTGTATGCATGTGGAACTCTACATAATAATAATCATAATTGTATTAAACATGCTTTATATTGTCCACATCTCATTTAAATTGAAATACAGCCTGCCATTATATCAATTCCACATAGTTGTAAATAGTTTGTTTATATCCTATCAATTCTACATATCTTTACATCAACATAGGAGGTACTGCACTACTAGTCTGAAACATTCTAGTTTATATTTTACAGGATTAATTCTATTAGTTATAATTTTAAAATATTAATTCTATACAAATCTCGACAAAAGAAGGAATGAAGAATGAAAGCAGGAAGCTGCTGGGAAGCCCCGCCCCTCAAATGCGAAGTGGTCACGTGAAATACAAATGGACCAATAGGAACGCGCGTTCATGGGGACGTCGCGGATTTTGAAACGGTTTTTCAACAAAACATTCGATTAATCCCACCGTCAAATTTGCCTGCTTACTCCGTCTCACTGTAAGTATACTGCTTTAAAATACTCTATAGCATCGTCCAAAATGCAAACTGTGCGATTTAGTGCGTCAAGATTTAGATTGGCAATAATTAAATCAAAAATACACGATTGTCAACGAGGAATTTTCGGTTGTAAAGCGAGTTTAGCCGGATGGCTAAGTTAGCAAGCATCCGGCCACGGTGGATCTGTTAGGTTAATAATCACAGCAAGTTAAACAATATTCCGTCATATGATACATTTGATGAGAGTGAAGATCTAGTTAGGTGGAGAAAGAACTAGCTCAGATGCTGAAAGGGCCCTAGACATGGATGACGAACTTTATATGTAACGTACGTTAGTGTAATATCATCAAAACAAGCTTTGAATGTTGTCCTGGCAAAGCCTGGGCCTAGTTATTTAGGTTTGTGCACTTTGAATATTTTAAGACCTATTAAGGGTTTGGTGAGACATGTTTGGAATGACAGACACATGCATGCAGACATAGACTGAACTATACTGTTATCATAGATGTCATTGCAGTACAGTAACGTAAGTGTGTTGTGTTGATGTGTCTTGTGTTGTTTAGTGTGCAGAGATGGATGAAGAAGAGAGCACAGAGCGACAGCTGCAGATCGCCATGCTGTGTCAGCGGCTGGCCAAGATGAAGAAGTTATACAATGATGGTAATAATTTCCAGATTTGGGTAATGCATACGCTCACTCATATCCCACACTTTAAAACTTGGATAAATCAGGGAATTCCAGGCCTGGGAATGTTACGGAATCTTGAAAAGTCACGAACATTCCTGTAGTTCCAATGTTTGTTGTTATGCTAGGCTCTGAAATATTAATCTTCCAGTAATCAATCTCTGAAATGTTTTTTAACAATCCTGATCCAGTAATCATGAAAGAATGCAAAAGTCAAGGCAATTCATTGGCCAAAACGAGAATCCTGGGTTGTTAGTCGAGCAGAGCAGAACATCTTTGGCTTTTCTTCCATACAGATGACACCGATTACATCAACCAGGCCATCAGCTCAAACTCACCCGACACCTGCCGGACGCTTCTGACCAATCTGGAGAGGAAAGGCAATCCTCAAACGGATCCCAGCCTGCTCACTAAACTCATCGACTGCTACACGCGTGTCTTTTCCAGCATGCCGTTGGGCAAGTACAGTCAGATTGAGAGCTACGCCAAGATGCTGGTCAGATTTGCAGAGTTAAAAGCGTAAGTCTCTGGTTCACTGGGATTTGAAATGATTTCTAACAGTCTTTCATCATTCTGGAAATTCTGTACATAATGATCTTTACAGAATAGTTCACCCTAGTTAATATTACTATTATATACTACTATTTTTTTTATCCATTATGAAATGTGACCCTGGAGCACAAAACCAGTCATAAGGGTCAATTTTTCGAAATTGAGATTTATACATCATCTGAAAGCTGAATAAATAAGCTTTCCGTTGATGTATGGTTTGTTATGATAGGACAATATTTGGCCGAGATACAACTATTTGAAAATCTGGAATCTGAGGGTGCAAAAAAATCAAAATATTGAGAAAATCGCCTTTAAAGTTGTTCAAATGAAGTTCTTAGCAATGCATATTACTAATCACAAATTAAGTTTTGATATAATTATTTGTAGAAAATTTGAAAAAATATCTTCATGGAACATGATCTTTACTTAATATCCTAATGATTTTTGGCATAAAAGAAAAATCATTTTGACCCATACAAGGTATTTTTGGCTATTGCTACAAATATACCCCAGCGACTTAAAACTG